GTGTGACCAATATGATTCTGCAACATGTATACTCAGAAAAATGATAAATTATATCCCATCTATGTAGGATATATCAAAGTGTAGAATGATATATCAAAATATATCATTCTATTGTCATGTAATCCCAGGGACTCAGGAGGCTGAGGCAGGAGGATCACAAGTTCAGAACCAGCCTCAGCAATATAGTAAGGCCAAAGCAATTTAGCAAGAACCTGTGTCAAAAATAAAATATTAAAAGGGGAGGTGGGGCTGGGGATGTGACTCAGTGGTTAGGTACCTCTGGGTTCAATCCCTGGTATTAAATAAAAATAACAGTAATAATAATTCATGAATCATGGCCCTGAAGGAATCATAAGGAATCAAATCAATGGTACAAATAAAGAAGTTGGTAGCAAAAGAAAGAAACAACCCTACCTGTGAGATGCCAGAGGAGAAGAAAAGTGAAAAGATAGAAAAATGAAGGAACATGAATGATTTTCAGTCTTTCCCCCACCCCCAATCTGAAAATGATCCAATCAATTTCTGGAACACATAAAGGCATACAGAAGAAAATAGCCATCATTATTAGTAACTATAAAATGTAAAACATTTGATGTTTAACATTATTACATATATCCTTCCAGTCTTTTTTGTACATTTTTGAGATTATGAACTATTTCAAACACTATTAATTTATTGAGTCAAATTCATCAATTTTTATGGTTCCTTAATTTTGAATTGCTGTTTAAAAGACGTTCCTCTTTATGCAATTTTAAAAGAATTCCACATTTTCTCTTAGCACATTCATGATTTTTCCATTTTTCATGACAATGTTTGATCAATTTAGAATTTAAGCATAGGAACAAAGTAGTGAAGCTTCATATAGCTACACTGTTGCATTAAATCTTAAATTTAAGGTTAACTATACTTTATTAAGGTTAAATTTTTATATAATAAAATGCATCAATTGAAAGTACACAGTCCTTCCTTTTGAAGCCCACCTGCACTCCTGTAATCATCACACAGATCAAGACAGAATAGAAGGTCAAGGTGTAGAACATCAGCCTTCAACCTTCCTTCACGATCTTTCCAGCCAACTCCCCTACCCACTGTTCTGATGCCCAACACTGCAGACAAGTCTTCCTGCCCTTGAGGTTGGTATAAGTGAAGACCACACTGTTTGTATTTCCTGTGCCTGGCTTCTCTAGCTCAGTACATTCCTGAGATTCTTCCATGCTATTGTAAGTAGCAGTGGTTCATTCTTTATTGTTGTTGAGAACTAGTCCACATTAAATAAATATGTCACAGCTTGTTGATCCACTGTCCTGTTTATAAGCATTGGGTTAGCTCCATGTTGGTGCTATTAAGAATGTAGTTACCATAAGAATTCTTGTACGAGTCTTTTGGGGTACGAATATACTCATTTCTTTTGGCCAGATATCTGGGAATAAAATTGCTGGGTCCTGGGAAAAGTCCTCTGTTATCAGGTGTGTGTATTCAGATAGACAGATATTTAGAAAATGTATATATATTATATATAAATATTTATAAATTAAGTCCTTGCTTTCACTTCTAAAGAGATTAAAACTCAATATAAATATACTGAGAGGCTCAGAAGAGGTTTAAATCAATTTTTATATAATAACTTTATTATATTCTATGTTAATAATACAGATATAGAGAAAGAATACTTTCACCCAGTCTGTGCCTTGACTTTTTGCTTTCTTACCTATTCATTTTGATCAGCAAAAGTTTTTCGTTTTGATGACATCCAATCTGTTTTTAACAGTGTCCTCCGTGTGCTAAGAAATCTTTGCCTAGCGCGAGGTTATAAATATAGTCTTCTATACTTTCTTATAAAAACTTTAAGCTTGCAAACTTCATACGTAAGTGATCCACCTTGAATTAGAAGAATTATTAAATACTGGTGAGGTCGAGATCAAGATGTGATTTTTCCTGTGTGATCAATCACCTATTTGATTCAGCAACATTTGTTGAAACGGCTTTCTCATTCTCATGGACTTGCTTTGAGAAACTTGTCAAAAATCAACTCACCCAATGTATACAACACACCTAGAATCCTAGCTACTCAGAAGGCTAAAGCTGGAGAATCCACAGGTTTGAGGTCAAGGCAAATGAGACCCTGCCTCAAAATTTAAAAAAATAAAATAAAAAGGACTGAGAATGTAACTCAGTGGTGGACACTTGCCTAACTTGCCCTAGGCTCATTCTCACTGCCAAAAAAAAAAAAATATCAACTAGACCCTATATTCTCTTTGATCTATTTGCCAATCTTTATGTCAATATCACACTGTCTTAATTATACTAACATTATAGTAATTGCATGAATTTATGCACAGGCAATACATTTGTTACCAAACTTTGATTTTTCCCAAACATTTTGATTGTTGACAACCTTTTATTTTTCTCTAATATGAAAGGTGTAAAATAAAATAATACCTCCGTATAGTTTAAATTCACATCTTCCTGCCTACGAGTGACATCAAGCACTTTTTCTTATTTTAAGTGTCTTTTGTATTTTCTTTCCAGTCACTCTGTGTAATATCATTGCAAATATTCTTTCCCAGGTTTTCATCTTGTCTTCTAATTTTATTGGTTGTGTTCAATCACTATTATTTTATGTAGTCAGATTTGTCCGGTTTTTATAATTTCTTACTTTTGAGTCATTATTGGAAAGTTTGTCTGCAAATTTATAAAATAACTATCCTGTGTTTTCTCTGAAAACATTCATTTTGTTTTCACATCTGAGTCTTGGATCCACCTGTAATTTGTCCTGCTATGAGCCATGAGGTATTATTCCTACATTCCCTGCACCCTGGAGAGTGGTACGGAATCATCCCCAGAATACAGATGATGGTCTACATTTTTCCCTTTGTATGTAAGTGTTTCTGTTTATCTTAAACTAAATCCCAATCTGTTTGGGAGTCTTTTTCTAGACTTCTAAGTCTATTCTTTTGGTCTGGTCTGACCAACAATTTATGCATCAATATCGCACTATCTTAGTTATCGAAGTTTCAAAATATATGTTAATATTTTGAAAGGACTATTTTTTCAGAATTTTCCTATTTATTCATATTTTTCAGTTTCCCTCATAAAATTTCAGAATGATCTTGTCTAGTTGAAAAAAATGACATCTATTTTGGGAAGATCTTAATACATTATTGAGACTTAAGTTAACATAGAGACAATTGATATTTTTATGATGAATACTGTCTTTCCATATTAGATCATGAAGTATCTTTCCATTTACTCTAGGTTTTTGTCCTTCAGTCTATATTAACATAGTATTTACATAAATCTTATACCTTTCTAACTACATTTATTCCTACATATTTCATATGTGTGGATGCTATTGAAAATTAGGGGGCTACATGGCAAAGAGGAAATAAATTTGCTAATCAGTGGACAACACAGGAAGATTGGGCTGGAGTATCTGGGTGGTCCCATGTGGTCACAGGAGTCCTTAAATGTGTAAGAGGGAAGCAGAAGTGTCTGAATGATGTGATGTGAGAGGGACTGAAGGAGTCCTGCAGGCTTTGGAGATGGAAGTGGGTCACAAGCCAAAGATGTTGTGTATACTTTCCATCACTGTCCAAAAAACACTGGAGATAAACAACTCATAAGAAGGAAAAGTCTATTTTTGGCTCATGGTTTCAGTCTGTGGTCAACCAGCTCCATTGCTTTGGGACCCATGGTGAGGTAGTACATCGTGGTGGGAGAATCTGGCTGAGGAAACTACTTGTCTCATAGCAGCCAGGAGGCAAAGAAAGAAGGAGAGGATGGGGCTGGGTCCAATATCCTTTCCAGTGGATGCCCCCTGTGACCTAGCTTTTTCTCAGGAGGCCCCACTTCTTACAGGTGCCATTTTGATTCACTATTGGAAAGGCCTTCTGACTGCCCATTCATAAAATAATTATCTTGCATTTTCTCTGAACACATTTATGATTCATTTTTTTCGTATCTGAATCACCTCCCACTAGCACCAAAGGCTGACCTTTGGAAGACACCTGTCTGAACCCTAGCAGACATGGACAGCCTCTAGAAGCTGAAAAAGACAAGAGAAGGATTCTCCCCTCCAGCCCCCGTAAAGGGTCAGAATCAAGTAACTTTTTAAAGAAAATACTCAGAAAGAGCACGTATACCTCTCTACAGATCATAGTTAAACATCAAACATAAACCAACATGGCATGATAATTGTAAGCTAATGGTATACCCCAGCAAACACTGAGCATTAAAAGTGCTATAAAGTGTGGGCTTTGGACAATCAAAAAGTAATTAGTCTCTTCCAAGAAATACCTTGTTAACATTCAAACTCTACCTAGAAAGCTAAAACACTGATTTGCCAATGACCTTTAAAAAGAGCCTGATTTAAAGGCTGGCCATGTCACTCAGTGATCAAGTGCTTTCTTGGTATATGTGAGTCGCTGGGTTCGATCCCCAGCACTGAAAGAAAAGAAAAAAATGGAAGAGCCTATCTCAGACTAACATTTTAATCCATGTTTACCATGTTCTAACAATGAAAGTGGAAAAATCAGCTGGACAGAGCAAGATAAAATCCTATTTTCTAAGTTCACTAATTATTATTAGATATTCATAGTTTCCCTTTTTTCTGCTGAAGGAAAAGAAGGAAGGACTTCTTCCCGGTCAATTCCAGGGGGTGAGGTCAACGAGGATTTAATGAACTTAATAGACTCACACCTGCTTAATAATGGATGCTGTGAGGACTGTGACGACAGTTCCTTTTGAAGACACAATGTGAAGCTCTGGATCCAATGACACGTAGTAGTTGCGATGGGTAATAACTTAGTAACCGCCTAAATGCGCCATTTTATGAGGCAAGTAACTCTTCTCAGGCAAGTAAAAAGCAGACTAATGAGGTGTTCCTATGGGATTTGATATAAACATTAGAAAGCAAAACATCCCACCTATTGTGACACCACCTCTAGGGAAGGCTATATAAGCACTTCAAAGAGGAGACAGCCAACAGCTTGGGATTTAGACTCAGTGGAGGGTGGTTGAGCCGGTGACCACAGACGAGGAGACCAACTGAAGCTGGACACACGCTGTGGATACCGAGGGCTCTAGAACAACTATTTCTTCTTCAGCCTCACCCCATAACTGCTCTGGGATTACAAATTTTAGGACCATGTCTGCTAACAACAGCTGCCAATCAACTGGCCACGAACCAAGAACTCCCCAGAGCCGGGTCTGCCAATCCACTCATCGCCTTTGTCGCACCCCCATCTACCTCATAAGCAACTTCTGTGTCCATCCCTCTCTGGATGACTGCAGCTGGTTGGGTGAAGGTATCAACAGCAACGAGAAGGAGACCATGCAGATCTTGAACGACCGCCTTGCTAACTTCCTGGAAAAGGTGCGAATGCTGGAACGAGAGAACGCTGAACTGGAGTGCAGAATCCAGGAAGAGCGTAACAAAGAGCTCCCTGTCCTGTGTCCTAATTACCTGTCCTACTACACCACCATCGAGGAGCTCCAGCAGAAGGTGAGATCCAGCAACCTGTTTAACCCAGTTGTGAATCGATAGTCTCCAAGCAATGGCTATTTGCTAAGCTTTAGCGGTTTTAGTTCTTTTTATGCTGAAAAAAAAAAAAAAAAGCTTATTGAAGAATAAGAAAAGCTCTTAATTGTCAACTTGAGGTAACATTCGGATTTTAGAGTTTTTCCTATTGCCAGAGATAGGCTTTACCATTATAACTAGATAGCTCAGGACCAAATCCGGTTCACAACCAGTGGTTACCATTTCTTTGATACAAATAAACGTGGCTGTATAACCAATTGTGATCCTGCAATCTGTACACGTGGAAAAATAAGATTAAGATTACGTACCCCATTTGAATCAAATGTATGGTATGTCAAGATCATTGTAATGTTTTGAGCAACTAATTAAAAAAAATAAAAAATAAATAAATAAGTAATCATAAAAAAAATAAGAAAGCAGGGCTCTTAAAAGATAAATTTTTCCTTAGTAAGTTTCTAAACAGTTCAGTTTTTAATCCGTGTTGGAACCATTCCACCTTTTTCTCCTCTTATGCTCATTTTATCATCTTTACATTATTCAAATCATTTGTTCCGATACCTAAGTTTCTTATTCGGAGTGATATGCTGCTGTTACTACACATCTGGGTTCATTCAGTTTTATTTGTTCAACAAATATTTTCAGAGCACCTAGACATTGTTCTAGGTTCTGAAAAAAAAATATGGGTGAACTAAAAATATTCCCTTCCTTCATGGAATTTATAGTCTAATGGGTTGTAGGCATATTTGGGATAGATTTTATATTTTTAACAGAAAAACATATGCAAAAGTTTTTACTTATGTAATTTTTTGCTGATCTTTTAGGAAAATAACAAAACCTCTGGTTTTCCAAAATCTCCCAAGCTTCTTGAACATAGCTCTGGAGATTTATAAAAAGTTTAACTTGCCTTCCCCTAATTCACTGAAACACACACAACCTCTTCGGTTCTTAAAAGAAGGAGATCCTGGTGTTTGTCTCATTTGTGTGTACAATTTCTTAATTCTAGATCTTGTGTACCAAGGCTGAGAATTCCAGGCTGGTCTCACAAATTGACAACACCAAACTGGCTGCAGATGACTTGAGAGCCAAGTAAGCCCACCCAGCACTGTTACAATGATAAAATTTACCCCTGAGTCGGACCTAAGCAATCCCAGTACGATTATTCCCATGTCTACTAAGCCTCCTACTCCAGAGCACGTTGGCACTAGCTCCAAAGAGACCTGAAAATTCAGTAAATAATTAAGATTGGTAACCCTCACCTGTATATGTGGGACCTATAGTTCTAACATAAGAACTATCTGATTACATGCTTAACAGTTGGTTACATGATAACAGCATAGTAAAATAGCTTAGTAAAAACGTAACAGCTTAGTAAAACAGCTTAGTAAAATAGATAATATGCTGTACAGCTTAGTAAAACAGCTTAGTAAAATAGATAATATGCTGTTATTCAGTTTAAGGTAAGAAAACTGGTGTAATGAGGAAGTTACCTATCCAAAAGCATACAACCAATGGAAGACACAGCCAAAATGTAGACGCTAGTCCCTGACCCCTAACCCTAATACTCTTCTTACTAACACTGCATTGCCTCTAGGGGCAGAGGAAGAAGGATAAATTCCCTCATCTCCAAGAATAGCACTGTAGCATCACTCTGGCCAACTAATTTAGGCATAATAACTAAGTATGATATGTATCAAATGATATTTATCAGATGGTTTCACTTCTAAAGAGAATAAAACTCTCCATAGCAATAGAATGAATGAGAAGCCCAGAGAGAAACATGGAAGGGAGTTCTGCCTGGCTGGATTGGCACCATCTTCTTTTTAATGCCTTTCTTTTCATGTCTGGCTTTTGAAGCTATGAAGCTGAGGTGTCCCTACGCCAGCTCGTGGAGGCCGACGCCAACAGCCTACGGAAGATCCTGGATGCACTGACCCTGAGTAAGGCTGACCTGGAGGCACGAGTGCAGTCTCTGAAGGAGGAGCTCCTCTGCCTCAAAAACAGTCACCAAGAGGTTAGAAAAAGAGCAAGAGGGTCAATACACGCTAAGCCTCTAAAATGAGCATGAGTTCCTTTGAATTGTGCTTGACAAAGGGCATTCCCATTAGATATTACTCAGGCTTTTAGCCCTGATAATACCAACTGCTTCTTCACGTACTATGGATTCAATGTGTCTCAAACTCATTGGCTGCTACACAATATCTAGAGCCACTTGGATAGAAAATCCTCTGATGTTACAATTTCCCTATAATTGGTACAAGTCAAACTCGTACAAGCCCATATATGTATCATAGAGACTATGGGCTCTCGTTATCAATTCACCTCTATGTTGCTACCTCCCTTACCCATCCCTAGAATTTATCAAGATTTTTTTTGAGACTCTAATCTTATTAGTCAATTCCTTTTAATTTTGCACATATTTGAATACATAGTCATGTTTGAAATAGCTGTAAATCGTTTTAGGGCATATGGATACTACCTATAAGTCATTGATTCCTTTATTGTGGACTGTAATTTAGATCAATGCGGTTAAGCTGAATTCTTGCTGTTAGACCAAAAAAGACATCAGAAGGTCCTCTATTCACCAAGTAACTTCACATTCTTTTTCTTTTCGTAGGATATCAACTCCTTATGGGGGCAGCTTGGGGACAGACTCAACATTGAAGTAACCGCAGCCCCTTCTGTGGACATAAACCAGATTCTACAAGAAATGAGATGTCAGTATGAGTCCATCATGGAGACAAACCGTAAAGATGTGGAACAATGGTTCAACACCCAGGTAGGCAGAGTAGAAAAGTCGAAAAGCAATAAGCTGATGTGTTTCCAAGGGCCCTTCGTGGGTCATGTTTTCCTTTCAAAATCCCCGTGGACTTTGTGTTTCAGATGTTGGAGCTGAATCAACAAGTGGTGACCAGCTCTCAACAGCAGCAGTGCTCCCAGAAGGAAATCGCAGAACTGAGACGTACCGTGAATGCTCTGGAGGTGGAACTACAGGCCCAGCACCGAATGGTACCCAGCATGCTAACCAAGCCTAGCTCAGCAAGGATGGCAGCAGCACCTGTGTGTCTGCCACAGTGCTTCCCAAACTCTGCCCCTCGGAACAGCTCCTCTGTTGGTTAAAGGGTCTATGGCTAAGAAAGGACTTCATAGTCAAAAAAGGGGGAAATGCTCAATTAAACAAAGATTAAACATACTGGCTTCCCATAAGCCTTTAATAAGCTGATATACACCATGAATCTCCAAAAAGGGGATATATGGTATTGGGCGTTCCAAAACTTGTTTTACTATGGACCCTCTATTTTTTTTTTTAAGGTTTTCAAGGTAATAATGGAGTACACTTTGGAAAACACTAGAAAAGCATTTTATATATGCAAAGCATTTTTATAAGCTTTCATATTAGAATTATAAAACAATCTTATGAGGGAGGTGTTATAATTATTATCCAACTTGACCGATGAGGTTCTAAGAGCTAAGGTGATTTTCCTAAGGAGAATCTAAAATAAGTGTCCTCTCTCCTATTTGACACATTAAGACATCGAGATTGTAAGGCAGCAAGTAATCTGTCCAAAGTCACAGAAGAAACGAGTCTGAGCCACAATTCAGATTCCACAGCCAATACCACTTCTGCCTCATTACAGTGCTTCTCTGATGTAAGAAATTACTGAAATGACCAACTATGAAAGGTATTACACAGACTTGGCCCTTCGCTGGTTTTGTAACCTGCAAGTCATATGATCTTAGGCAACTTGTTTAACCTCTCGAACCTCAGTTTTCTCAACTAAAAACAAAACAAAACAAAAAAACAACTGGGGTATAAATATTTGGTTACTAAAACTGAAAAATCCCACCATTATTCATAGGTTTACACAACCAAAGAACTTTACTCATCCGACTTTCAACTTCTATGTTTTACATAAAGGAATTGATCCAGTGAGGGAAATGTCTATGGTTAAACATTGTTCACTGCCTTTTTCAGTATAAGAACTTATTGAATGAGATCTCATGATAATGCTTTTTTTTTTTAGTCCTGGAGATTGAACACAGGGGCATTTAACCACTGGCCACATCTCCAGCCCTTTTTATTTTTTATTTTGGGAAAGGGCCTTGCTAAGTTGCTGAGGATGGCTTTGAACTTGTGACCCTACTGCCTTAGCCTCCCAAGTCACTGGGAGGTGATGCATTTTTAATGCCTGGGTGTGCAATGAGTTGCATTTGTTTTTTCTATTACAAGTAGCAGAATGTGGTCGGAGATTATCAGGTGGTCCAAAAATAAGAGGAAGAGAAATGAATACAAAGAGTATGTGTGGGGGGATGATAAAGGAAAACAAGCTATAATATAATTGGTCATTTTGCTTTTAGATTTATGTGGCTAGGAGGTAATAAAAGGGCTTGGAGATCCAAAACCAATATCACAAAGAAATCATTGGTTTCAATGACTTAAACAATGACTTGGGCTCAAAGGAGTCGTCATTGTAAATCCTACCTTTCTTTTCCTCCTCCCTGGTAGAGAGATTCGCAGGAATGCATCCTGACAGAGACTGAGGCCCGCTACACGACCCTGCTGGCCCAGATCCAAAGTCTGGTCCATAACCTGGAGGCTCAGCTGGCGGAGATCCGCAGTGCCCTGGAAAGACAGAACCAGGAATGTGACATTCTGCTGGATATTAAGTCCCGGCTGGAGTGTGAGATTGCCACATACCGCAGCCTTCTGGAGAGCTCAGACTGCAAGTGAGTAAAATGAAAACAACTTGTCTGAGAAAAAATGCTAAGATGCCCACATGTATGTACTGCCACTGGTATCCAGGGGGCTGCGCTTTGAGCTTCTTGCTTGTGCTGGGAATCTCTGAATGGAGACTGTCTTCAGCTGTACCCTGGGAGACTACAATTGTAACCTAGTCCAAACTTGAGGTATAGACTGAACTGAGTTGCTTTGAAGAGCCAGTATACAAGTTAATTCCTTAGGTTCTTAGAGTTTTAAAAATTATTAGATAAAAAGGGATTTTCCCAAAGATGTACATTGTTAGCCACTGTTACAGACTCCCCCCACGCCCCCCCCCCACCGAGATGAATGCCTGACTTTGCCAAGTTGAAACAAGACAACCCTGGTCTCATTGGGGAAACTCCGCCCCAGCTGAAACCCCTACAGCATCCAGCTGCTGGTTCTTGATGCCAATAGCAGTGTATTCACAGGTTTGTTTCAGCATCTTTTTTTTTTAAGTTGTATTTTTAAAATGATGATAAGCTAACAAACCCATTAACAACTCACCTGGAATATGAACACTTTGGAAGTCACTCAGTCCAGACGAACACAAATGCATGCTTAGTTGCAACTGCAAAGGACACCTACCTGCCCATCACACTCATCACATCAGTGAGCTCTGTTCACGGTGTTTTTGTTTTTGTTTTTTGGGGGGTGGTTACTGGGCTCTTTTTATTTTTATTTTTTATTTTGAGACAGGGTCTCACTAAGTTGCTTAGGACCTAAGTGGCTACGACTGGCTTTGAACTTGTCATCCTCATGCCTCAGCCCCGCAAACTGCTGGGATTATAGGCATGCGCTACTGCACCCAGCTCACAGCATTCTCCAAACAGGCATGTCCCCATCAAGCTAGCACAATGTTCACTGATTTCATCACCTTAATATTTCAAAGTGCCTCCTGTTATCAAAGTAAGATCATGTATTACAAAAGGTGTTTACTGTTCGTTGTTTACTACTCCAATTCTCTAAAAGCTATTCATTTATAGAGGCCCAGAAGGCACTTTGAAGATTCCACATCTGAAGATTTCATAGATGGGATGCAAATCACCACTAGCAATGTGACTAGCTTCCCAGGAGAAAAATATCTGATTCATTTCTGTTCCTCAACTTGTTCCTTATCTGTTGATCCTTAACTGTTGATCCTGTGAGGTTAGTTCCCATTATGTCCATTCTGCAGATGAAAAGCTAAAGCTCAGGAGCGTTAACTGAGCTCCCTGAGGTCACCAGCTGGTAAGTGACAGAGCTGGACTCCACCGCAGTTTTTGACTCCCTTGCAGTAGGAGTCCCGTGATGCTCTGACATTGGCCATATCGGAAGCTTACTTAGCATAATATTTCTCAAGCTAGGATGCTGTTTTCCCCAGGGGATCTGACCTGATTCTTTTTTCTTCCACTGACTACAACACGAAATGAATAAACACTTGGAAGCACTTATTTTGAGGGACAAGTTGTTGAAAACTTTGTCCACCTCCAGTTTTCTTCATAGCCATCATTGCTCTTCCTCAATCATAGGTAAAACTCTGTTTTCTCCTCAGGCTTCCCTGTAACCCGTGTGCCACCCGATGCAAGCCTTCCACTTGCACACCCTCCAAGCCCAGCACCGTGGAATGCACCGCCCCGGTTTTCACATCCTCAGCCCCCAATGGGATTCTCAAGCGGTACAACGTCTGTGGACCCCCATCCCGGATACTGGTTAAAATATGCACCATCACCAAGGAGATTCAGGACGGGAAGGTCATTTCTTCTCATGAACATGTGCAGCCTTGCTTCATCCCCAGACTTGCCAAAGTCTAACGGCCCAAGGTGATGCGAAGGACCCCCATTCATGAGAGAAAGGCCAATACATGCTCCTGCCAGAGAGGTTTAAGAACTCCCCAGGCCCTTAAGGTACTTAGTCTCTTACTACTACAGCGGGTCCCCATCACTAGATAGTGTGTCCTTTATTCCACTCCTTCCCTAAGTCGCTGCTGCCAACGTGATCATAAATTCCATTTCTCTGGTAGGACATTTTGCATTCATCTGAAGGATGGGAATGGATTAGCCAGTTCCCCGGGGGAAGATGGCCTATGATGCTTGACTCCCCAGGTGTTGAACTGGCAGGTTTTTCTTTTGTTTACTCAGGCCTTATTTACTTATGTGCCTCCTTGGAGCCAGTCAGACAAGTTCCAGGATTGTTTTTGGCCATTGGCACACTAAGGTGAAAAGCTACAACCTTCCCTTCCAAGCTCCTTTTGTGGCTTTAGAAGGAAGCCTTTACAGAAACAGAGTAAATAAGGAAAGAAGATCCTTGATGTTTAGTTTCCTTGAATAGATAATCCCAGGTCCTGTTGAACTCTGCTGCCTCAGTTTTTTGTTGTGAAGAGTCAATGAAATTGCTTATGTAATACTGCTATTTGATGAAAAGCACTGACATACACGACCCTCCCCAAGAGAATTTTGAAGATGTCCATGTTCTCTAAAACTTTGTGAACCATTAGGCTCTTCTCCAAATATTTTCTTTGAGAATCAGGAAATAGTTATGGGGAATGAATCTAGAGCTATTTCTTCAAAAAATAATTTTGAAGAAACTGGGTCCTTTCGTTAAATGTTTACTCTTTCTCTTTCTATTCTTTAGGGAATGGGAGTTTGATCTGATTGTTTGAGAAGGGCCATGTAGCTGGATCTTTCAAGACATAACCCCCGATGGGTGACCATGAAAAAAATAGCTTAGATTCCTGCTTCAATCTATCCATCAGAGAGAGAAATGGACTTGATATTCACAAGCTTTGCAGAAAATCAATAGTGAATCATTGCTACTTGAAAGCACCAGGGAACCTCACTGTGAGAAGGTATTATTTATGTACTAGCCAGTACCATAGCTTCTGAACAGCAGAGCTCAGAGTATGTAAATCATTCCCTGCAAAAATGAGACATTTCTGGAGGTTTTAGCAAATATTTCCAAATCAAACATATAATGGGGGAGCCCAAAAGCCTTGTGTTCTAAACTTGCCATTTCCTAACTGTGACCCTGCACAGTTTAGATTCATTTCCTAGAGAAAGAAATTGCCTACTTCACAGGGCTGTTGTGAAGAGCAAATGAAATTGTTTATGTAATACTACTGTTTGATGAAAAGCACTAGACAAATGTGATCTTAAATAAGCTTTGCTATTAGCAGCAGCTCTGGACATAATTTTATTCATTATTATCTTCTTAAAATTGTTTCTTCATGAATTATTTATCCAGTCATGATTTGGGAGTTTTAATAGTGTTTAGCTTTGGAGGGTGGGGGACAAAACAAGATGTCTTGTGATCATGCCTACAATTCTACTCAATAAAGCATTTTTTAAATTCTTAGGGTAAGTATCAGATGTCAGTTGATGCCTAGTGCCCACATCAAAGATGTTTACAGTAACTCACAGCTCAGAGATTTACTTCCTCCAGACAAGTAGCAACTCACACACTAACCTAGTGGAATGCAGAATTCCCAGAATGGACTCTTTTCTATTGATGATTTCTCATCTAAATGAGCAAAATACCTCCAGTCAGCACTTAAGTGCATATGATCTCAGACTATAGGATGGAAATATGGAAAAGAGCCAAGAACTTGAACTAGAAACCATGGTACAGAGTCTCAACCCATTTTGTATGTGTGATCTTGAGTAAAACGGACTTTACAACCTGGGCCCCATCTAAAAAGTGGCTGGCAGGATTAAATGGGATAATGATAGAATCTTGCAAAGTGGTGATGCTATGCAGAAAGCAATCCTTATTCCCTAAATTAAAAGCCAGACATATGTCATTTCCATCCATCTTCCTCCTTTCTAATTCAATGCAAGCCAGGTGGATCCTGATACACACCATCAACACTTACTGGAAAACTAATTGGCAAAAGGTCAGAGCTGCTCAACCTGCTCTGAGCTTCTGATCCCAACTAGATAGACGGGTCAGTGGACCCAGGCTAACCTTAGGCTGATGCAGCAATGCCATTATCAGTGTATCGCAGAAATTTGGCATCTTCTACCCAAAGTATCCCTCATCCCTTCTGTAATAAAAATAAGTTTTTATGAACTGCACAGTCAAGAGGGAATGGGCCTCTCAAGGGCTTATACATTTTTTTCTTTGACTAAGAGAATGTAAACCCATCTGCAGGACCTTGTCTACATATGACCAAATCTTTTCAAGGCAATATGAGTCTGGATTTTTACCAGGAAGCTAAATAAGTATCCTATATAGCCACAGGAGGGAGTTAAAGGGTTTTTACATAGTTCAGCATGGGTCAGCAGTGGGAGTAGAAAAGAGGCTTGTGGGAGACAAAGGATTCCCTACGAGTATAATTCTAGCACAGCTCAAAAGAGCCGTGAATTAGGAAACACCATGGTCTCTGAAGTTCAAATCCTATCTCTGCTTTTCACTGTGAGAGTCCATAATTACATTTCTAAACAAAGGAGATGTTTTGGAGATATTTTTTCTAGACTTTGTCTTTCTTCATGTTAATTCACCCTAAGGTCATATCTGCTTCCAACTCTCCCAAATACACAGATAACCACACTTCCCTCTCCCTTTGCTTCTTCCCTTTTAACTGCCCCCCTGCCTGCTCTTCCAGCACAGGGCAAGTGGCTTCTCCATGCTAACCTCTCAGCATCAATTCCAACAATCTTGGCCTAGAAACTTTTCCTCAAGAGTTCCTTAGAGGTAATCCCTTTCATGATTTCCCTCCTGGACTTCCCTAGTGCAATCCAGAAGCCACCTGCAGTCACATTTCCTGAGGAGCTTTAAAAATTCAGATCCTTGGAGGTATGCCAGACTTGCTGCATTTGCATCACCAGGTGTGGGACCTGGGAATCCAATTTTTAACAAAACTCCCCTACAGAGGAGCATACACTGCATTCAAAGCTATTGCTTTATAATTGACAACTGATTTTTGGTATAAAGATCTGGATGATTCCATCTTTTTTTTCTCATCTTTTTTTATTAATACCTATAAATTGTGCATATTAATGGGATGCATTCTAATATTTCCAAATATGTACACAGCATCCACCCTTCCTTTTGAGTGTCTCTTTTAGATTTTGACATTAGCCTCATAGATGATCACGTTTACAGATAGTTCCTCCTCTACATGTCAATCTGCCTGTTTAGGAAAGGGAGTTAATCAATAATAATCAATAATTTAACAAACGTTGTTAATTCATTTAACACTCACACCACCACCAGGAAGTAGCTACTATTAATAGTCCCATTAAACAGATGAAACAGCTAGACAGAGAAGTTCAATAATTCATCAAATGCCACACCATAATGAAATTAAAGTTTAAGTACTTTGATTTCCTTAACACCAGACATACAATCAATCAGTCTCCCCAAACAGAAATGATCCACAATAACAATGATTGTTTTTCAAAGCACCCTTCCGTAGTTTTCTTGTCATACTTCTAGTGAGATGCCATCAAGAGGAGAAGTCTTTAGGCTATTGCTACTAATCATTCTCTTCATCCAAAGTGCAGAGATTAAGTGAGTTTTAGTATTAGGTATTTTGATGGCAGCTCATAACCTTTTTTATATCATAGACAGAGAAACCAGAGAGCCCAGAGAGAAAGGTAACTGAACCATGAACCATGATGACTGATGAGAAAATATAGTTCTCTTTTCACCCGACAGTGACCTTGGGTTCCAGTTCTCGGGAGCAACCCTTGGCTTCCCTGTGCTTGGGCCCCGAGTGCTCATCACAGAACTCTCCAGCTCTGATACCTTTAGTTTCTCTTGTAAGTGCTAATGTCATGGGACCCACCTTACTGTGTCTCGTCTTCTACATCCGCAAAGATGAAATGACACCCAAAGTAACATCCTCCAAACCCCTCGCCCCAGTGTCTTTCAAAGGCAAGGAAATGGTGTCAATGGATGTTTTGGAGAAGCCACTACTGCATGCTGTTAGGATTAATTCCCATAATTTCTACCTATCAATCAGACAATGGGGGGACGCATCTTCCTCTAAGGAGCCATGAACTTGTCCATGCCTGAGGAGATTCATCTTCATTCTGTCCATTTTGATTTCAAAGTCTTGATCATAAAAGTTCTTTTCAAAGGAAAATGTCCTCTCTAAACGAAAGGGAAGGAGAAAAATGCCAAGTTTCAGGAGAAAGGGGACATGTCCTGGGGAGGAGGGAACAGCGCCATCCACATCAGGGTGGAGGCTGAGGCATCCCCGTGTGGAGCCGTGGGTTAGTGTCGGTGCACGCACGCCTCGCCAAGCGTTCCCTGCTTCAACACTATAATCAAATGTCTTTTATAGGAAATGAATCCTTGGCCTATTTGGCTGGCTGGAAATATCTGGTCAGTGTGTTCATACATGAGTCACAGGCTTCCCGGGGACAACCCACGCACCCCGTACCAATGGGAACAACCCTGTTTGGCAACATTGAATAGGTTTATTCTAATTGCCATTAACCTTTCAGGTTGAGCATCATATCTGGAGAGTTTTCTTAGCCAATACCTTTAAGCCACAAGCCACCATTTAGCATTCATGTAAGAAAAATGTGTAAAATGCCAATGTTTATTAAACTTCTCCCTGAAGGGGTCAACGGTAGGAAAGTTTCTGAACAGATTTTCGTTATCTCGTCCTCTCTCTCCCTCTCTTTCTCAGTCTCCTTTCCCTCTCCATTTCCGTCCTGCTCCTATTTCTCCTCCCTCTTTCTCTGAAACAACATAACAATCAAGTTGGACATACAGGTTGCACCTAGAGGGAAACATCTTAAACAAGGAGTTCTCTTACTATTTTCTAGGAAGAAAGCAGATTTGGGGATTCTTTCTCTGTGTTCCACTCAGAACAACAACAACAACAAAACTCAAGAAGGCCTTTCTTCTAAGCCAGGGGCAAAAGTTTCTGACATCCTAGCTCCTTAGGATAGTCCAACAGGTGCCCGAGTCACCGTGGAGAGGGGTGTACTACCCACTCGGTATCTGGGACACTTGAAGAAGTCAATTTCCTGACCCAGAAGACATTGAGAGAGCTCACACTTGGAGCTCATTTCTTTCAATCTATGCAGCTGGATCTAGAGAACTATCTAGCCCCAACTCTAAGTGAGAGTACAAGTGTCTTCTCTCCGTGTCAGCTGGGGATTGTTTGTTGGCTCGTTTTTCACTAACCCACCAGAAAAAAAATAAGTGCCCTCCTCCTTCACGGTCACTGTTGGAGAAATACATACACCTGCCTTGTAGGATGGCCTCTGTGGTTACAGAGAGAAGTCTGGTGGTACAAGGCAGACAAAACAACAACCAGGACTTTTTTTCAGGGGAAAAGGGAGAGTATAATTTTCTCCTTTTTCTCCATCAAGTGATCCAGAAAGTCCAGAACTAAACCATTAGAAAAAAGCTAGAAAAGGCCAGGCCTGGTGGTACAAGCTTATGATCCCAGAAACTTGGGAGGCTGAGGCAAAAGGATTACAAGTTTGAGGTCAGCCTCAGCAACTGAGTGAGGCCCTATGCAACTTAGCAAGACTCTCTATCAACATAAAAAAAAATAAATAAAAAGGACTGTGTATATACAGCTCAGTGATAAAGCGTCCCTGGGTTCAATCTCCACTATATTAAAAAAA